CCCCAAAACCCCAAAACCCCAAAACCCCAAAACCCCTTAAGAATAATATTATATTGAAAGCTAAAAATTAATATGAATTTACATCGAAGAGTTAGTGTTTAGGCTGATTTATGGGATATTTGAGTGAAAATGTTTGGAAATTTTAGATTCGGATCAAGAATTATGTTGTTTAAATAGTTTCTGAGCCTTTGAATGAGTATTTTGAAGTATAGGGCGACCAAAAATTCCAATGCAATCTTTTATAAGCTTAGGAAGAAAAAGGTAACACTTGAAGGTTGTACTTAATTTTAGAGTTTCCACATAAAAATTGACAACTCAATTTATCATAATCCCAATGCCCAAATCCACAAAAAGTTGACTAACTTCAAAAGGTAACTCACTTTCATATTTCCTATTCCAAACTGACTCTTTCCTATAGAGGTCACAACCTCTGCACCTCTGATGAAAGGAATCACTCTGAAGAGAGCCTGGCTCCTCTCGTGGATCAAGGTGCCCAAGGAACCCATTATGACCAAGAGACAGATAAAATATTTATCAATAGAGACAACTTAGGTCAAACACATGAGAAGACTTTTAAACGAAGGAAGGAAATCAACAGGTTTATACGGGTTTACCTTAACTCTGCAACAGCCAAAATGAGAGAGAAAATCATGCGCCCAGAGTCAAACTCTGAAACCAAGTCTAGGATGATGTCAAGGAATACTTCAAGAGGTGGAACGAGGAAGGTTCAAAAATCCGAACTCCAAATAACGGAAATGACTCCTTTATTTACCAATAAAATGATTAAGAAAAGTGAGATTAAGTATCGTATTACTAAGAAAATGACCCAGAAATGGTCTTTTAGGAAGTCAAGCTGACCTATGAATCAGTAAGTCAATTTAGAAATAAGTTTCATCATAGGAAAGAGAAAACCAAATCTCTTGTCAAAAATTATGCCCATCATAAAGGCATCAGCCTCTCAAGGAGTTGAGCTGAACTGAAGAAGGTAATTCAATCAGAAAGAGATGAAAATCAACAGTCACCTGCTTCTGGAATAAAAAGGAAGATAAAAATCTCTAAAAATGATCCTAAAAAGATCGAGAAGTCAAGGATGAATAAGAGTCATACCAACATTCGTTTTAATCTAAGGAATTATTTCCAAAAGATAGGTAGGACTATTACTTTAACTAAATTCTTGTAGGAAAGGTAAACCCTGTTTCAAAGAAGCGCATACTTCCGATTCGAAGTAGGAGGAAGAGCTTGTCTGATAATCTTACACCTTCGCCATATCAATCCTAACTGTCCTAATTTCAATAACTACCACACAAAACGGGGTTTTGGGGTTTTGGGGTTTTGGGG